CCCTGGGAAGTTATATATCCCAGGTATGAGTGAATCTTGGCTGCTGCTCTGAACTCCCTGGGCAAACACCCAACTTTCCTCAAAAGGAATGCCTAGGATCAAATTTGACAATAGGGTTGGAGAGCATTTGATATTTCTTTCTGGGGCAATCTGTAACCCTTTCCTACTTCATATCAGAAAAATTATTTTGTTTAGTTTTGTTTTTTTCATTTTCTTTCTTTTTCCTTCCTCCTCAATAAAAGGGGTCAAGGAATTAATTCTTCACCTTCCTTTTGTTTTTTTTTTTACAAGAAATATGCTCGCTCACATTGAAAAGTACTGGCGTGAAATGGAACAACTTCCCTTCTGTTTCCCAGCCAACAGGTTCCCTTCAACACCCCAGCCCTGCAGAGCTGCAGATGCGCCGTGGTCAGATGTTGGAAACAGACGAACAACTGTGGCTTAATCTGTTTTGAAAAAAAAAAAAAAAGTTCTGAAGTAATTGATAAACAAGAGGCTGAGGTCATTGTGAAGAAAGAGTGAGTAAATGAAGCCAGATTGGGGACCGTTGAAATGTAAACCTTTTTCATCCCCTGTCCTGAATTGGGCGTGTGAGTAATAGTCGGGGCTAATCTTGCCGGGAAACAGAAGGAGGACCTCTTGGATTGCCTGATATCTGGACTTAGGTTTTTATTAATTATTATTATTATTCAAAATTATTATGTCCCTTTTGCAATTTTTGGGGGGGCATAACATATATATCAAAAAGTGCACAACTTGTAAGTACAGATGAATGAGCTTTTACAAACTGGACACATCTTGTAACTGGCACCCAGGTCAAGAAACAGAACGTTAGCCATACCCTAAAAGCCCCCGTGTGTCTCCTTTCAGTTACCATCCCCCTCAAGGAGAATCACTATCCTGACTTACAACCCTGTTATTATTTTTCGTGAGCGTGGCAAATATATAAGTCACAAAACAGTTGCCATTTCAACAATCTTCACATTCAATGACATTCAATATGACCATCATGTTGTTCAACCTTCATCGTATTATTTTTTAATAGATCACACACATGCACGCGTGTTCTCCTAGAGATATTCTAGCATGTACAAGAATACACATGTGTTATGGATTGAATTGCATCACCCAAAAATATGTGTTGTAAATCCTAACCTCTATGCCTGTGGTAATAATCCCATTTGGGAATGGATTTGTCTTTGTTAACGAGACAGGGTTAGTGTAGAATGTATCTTGAGTCAATCTCTTTTGAGATATAAAAGAGATTAAACAAGAGAGCAGAAGCACAGATGGGGGAAGAGAGATGCCAAGGCACATGAAGACTGTGCGGGAGGAGAAGCTCCGAAGAGACAAGGACCTTCCTCCAGAGCCGACAGAGAGAGAAAGCCTTCCCCTAGAGCCCTGAATTCAGACTTCCAGCCTCCTAAACTGTGAGAAAATAAATCTCTGTTTATCAAAGCCACCCACTTGTAGTATTTCTGTTATAGCAGCACTAGATAACTAAGCCACACGTTATTGTTTTATACTAATGTAGTAAAAGATATTTCACACCATATGTCACATATTACCTAGATTGTTCTGTCTCTTGCTAGTTTCACATTTATCTTGGTGATCACTCCATAGCCATACATATAAAGCAGCCAGGTTTTTTTAGTGATTACATAGTATTCCATTGTCTGAATGTACTGTAATTTATTTAATTTTATTTGAAGGCAGAGAGATTATGTCCAATTTTTTTGGAGCTGGCTTAAAAAAAAAAAAGTAATTCTTGTGGTACCTTTCTTGTCCTTTAGGTTTGAGGTGGCAGCTGTGCACTGCTCTCTCGAGTCCCTTAAAAATACTGCTAGTTCTTACTCTGTTCTGAAATGCGCTGGGCGTGGTACCTCCTCCGGTGGTCGCCTGTTTTATTACCTTGTCCTGTTAGGACTCAGTTGTTCCATGTTTGAATATGTAACCAGGAAGTGGAAATAATGTCCCTGACACCCCCACTTCCTTTTCTGGTAAATCAGTGTCCGGTAAATGAATCCAATTACTCTCACCCACCCGCTTCCTTGCACAGCTGTTTGTCCAGCCTTGTCCTGGCTGAAATCTGGAGATTTCCAAAGATGGACCTCAGGAGTTCTTCCGGACGGGATTAGTCGGAGGAACTATTGTTCATTTGATTAAACCAAGCCTTCCCCTTTCTGCCTGCCTTTTCCTCCTTCTGTGGGGTCTTCTCATGCCCTGCTTCCATCCCCAGCCCAGCCCTTATCTCTCCCTGCATGGATGTTGGCTCTGAGAGTCATTTAGTCTGAGTGTGAGTTCAAGTCCCTGCCTACTCCTTTCTTCTGGTGGGATTTACCCTTTAAATTTCAAATCTTCCATTATTATAGAACAAAAGGTTTTGTCTCCTTAAAGCATTTTGATTCCCTGCCAGCAGGAACAGTGGTGTGGTTACGGGCTGGCACCATCCGTCACCTCCCTCCTTTGCTGTCAGTATCATGCCTCTCCTTCCCCACCCTCAGGGGATAGGCCTGCAGGGACAGGCCTGGGTGGTTCAGGACGGCAGGTTAGGCTGGAGTGTCTCAGGGTCTGCTGCCTACGGCAGAAGGGCCAACGCCACAGGCTTGGTAAAGGGGTGCCAAGGCTGAGCTGCAGAAGCGCAACCTTCATTGGCAGGGCCACAGGCAAGTATCAGGGCTGCAGCAGCCCTAATTCATGCAAGAGGGAGCTCCACAGGGGTGTGAAGGCCAGGAGCTAGGCTCACTGGGAGGCCCCTTGGAGCTGGCCTAAGAGAAGGTAATAATAGCAACCGCTGTAGGGTTGTAATAAAGATTAAAGGAGTTGATAAATAGTCATGGTAAGTACTCTGTAAACGTTAGCCCTTACTGTTATCTGAGGTGGCCCCGACACAGCAGCTCCAGTTCCTGTTACCAGTGGCCAGGTTTGCTGTCACGGCTCCATTTTCTCCTCCTCTAACTTGCCCTGCTCTCCTGACTTGGCCCCAGTGAACAGTTTCAGCTCTTCCCACCTGAGGCATTTTCCTGGTCTCCGCAGACCCCTTCAACGCCCCTTCCTCCTTCGTTGTGCCTTCTGCTTTAGCTAGGAAAGCTTCCCTCTTCCACTCTTCCTCCCCGGAATCCCCACTGCCTCACTCCTCCCCCGTGAGGAGGAAACCGTTCACAGCTCATCAAATAGAAAACAAAACTGTTCCTAGTGTTTGTGCTCCTAGTTTTTACAACGTCCAGGAGTCCCTGGATGCCACAAACGGTTAAGCGATTGACTACTAGCTAAAAGGTTGGTGGTTCAAATCCACCCAGAGGTGCTTCAGAAGACAGGTCTGGCAACCTGCGTCTGAAAGGTCCCAGCCTTGAAAACCCTATGGAGCAGTTCTACTCTGCACACATGGGGTCGTCATGAGTTGGAATTGACTCAATGGCAATAACAACTTTACATTGTCCCGTCTCTTTCCAGCCTCCCAACTCCAATGTCTCCCCCCCATCCTTTCACACGTGCCGAGGACAAAGATTGGTGGTAGAAGAGGACTCTCCTGAGACCAATGACTGTTATACATCTCTATCTATGGCACCAGGCAGTGTTTCGTTCTATTGTACATGGGGTCACTATGAGTTGGAACCCACTCAATGGCACCTAACAACAAAAATGGCACCTATATCTATGAAGGAAGATAAAGACAATGGAATTTAACACATCAACACTTGTAAAGACCTACCATGGACCTTGCTCAATTCTAGGCATTTTACACTTATTCTCTCATTTAATCTTCATGGCAACCCTCTGATGTAGGTATTATTATCACCACTCTACAAATTTTCAAATTGAGTCTCAGAGCAGGTACATATCAAGATCCCATAGCTAGTAAGTACAGAAATGGGATTTGAATCCAGGTCTGTCTTACTCCAAAGCCCACGCATGTGGAAGAAAACTTGAGCCACTAGGACTTCAGATAATAATAACATTTTCTATTCTACTTTATATTTGGGTCAACTGCCCCAGAAGCCATGTTTCCTACATTTAAACTTAGCACGCCCACTGTCTTAGCCCAGAATTGCAAGCTTTGTCTTGTCCACACATAGGTCTGATTTTGAAATAGCTAAATTGTAGCCATCCAAAACTAGCTTTGCCAAGACTCACATAACATGTTTGTTTTCTCAAACTTCTGAAATTCATTCTATTATAAATAAACCTCCCAGAAGGAGAGCAAAAATTAGCGAAGTGGTGTCCAGGGGCTCCCCAACCTCCAGGTGAGGGTCTCAGCAGGACAGTAGTACGTCACAAAAGGCTCTGGCCGGAAAACCAGTGGGTAGGAAATGATGCTGCACCTGGAGAGCTTCTACAATGGCTTGAGTCTTTTATTCAAGGTGAGCAATGCCCACCTTCATGGTTTACCTAGAACAAGGGCATCCAGTAATGTTCTTTCATAGCTCCAGAACTGCCAGAGATTTATGAAAGGGCATTGTTGTTGTTTTGGGGTGCCATCAAGTCAATTCCGACTCATAGCAACCCCATGTGACAGAGTCGAACTGCCCCACACAGTTTTCAAGGCTGTAATCTTTACGGGACCAGAACAACAGTCCTGTTTTCCCTCAGAGCGGCTGGTGGGTTCGAACCTTCGGCCTTTTGGTTAGCAGCGTAGTGTTTAACCATTGAGCCACCAGGGCACCTTATGAAAGGTCATAGTGGAGATTAAGTTTTACCTTCTCCCTGATGTCTTCCCAACCTGTTCCCCTCAAGGTTTAAATTATTCCTCCTCTCAATTTTTGTCTGAAGTCCTCAGTTAAGCATAGTCTGTCTAATGGTATCTCCAGTTTTTGAGTATTAAACAAAGGCACACTCATCTGGCTCTTTAAGAAGAGCTTCTTTTATTAATAACATTTCCATGGGTTTTTTTAAACAACATTTTATTAAAATGTTATTAATAACATCTAATAACATTTCCATGTCTTATTTTTCAATGAGGATCTCTGGGCCTCAGTTTCCTTGTCTAAAGATTATGTGAGGCATTGGTGGTTCAGTGGTAGAATTCTCGCCTCCAATGAGGGAGACTCAGGTTCGATTCCTGGCCAATGCACCTCATGCGCAGCCACCACCCATCTGTCAGTGGAGGCTTGTGTGTTGCTGTGATGCTGTATAGGTTTCAGCAGAACTTCCAGACTAAGGTGGACTAGGAAGAAAATCCTGGCGATCTACTTTCAAAAGTCAGTCAGTGAAAACCGTCTGGATCACAAAGGTCCAATCCTCGACGGATCGTGGGGATGGCACAGGAACAAGCCGCCCTTCACTCCATTGTGCATGGACTCACGATAAGTTGGAGACTGAGCTGGGGCTAACCTGATTGCAGCTAACAACAACAAAAGACTGTGTAGCAGGCAGCGATTGATGCGCTGCAATCTACCCACTTCTCAGCGGCATCAAGCAATGAGCATGTGGGTTGGCTGGCAGGGGGCTCTGCTCCACATGTCTCTCACTCTTCTGAGACCTACAGGCCTCCTGGTCCATGTTCTTATGACAACGAGAAACCCAAGTGAGGAAACCTGACTGTATTAGCACATTTAAAGCCTCTGTGTGTGTTATGTTTGCTAACATCCTATTGGCTGAACCAAGTCGTGAGGCCAAGTCCAACATCAATGGAGTGGGCAAATCACAGTGGGAGGGCGAAAGGAGCGAATATTTGTGGAACAATAATCCGGACTATCACAGATAGGATGATACCCACCTGCAAGAGTTATTCAGAAGTTTATGCATGTATAACTAAACAAGTATTATAATTATCAACATTTTTTTATTGTACTTTAGATGAAGGTTTACAGAGCAAACTAGTTTCTCATTAAACAATTAGTACACATATTGTTTTGTGACATTGGTTGCCAACCTCAGGATATGTCAACACTCTCCCCTTCTCAACCCCAAGTTCCCCGTTACCAGCTTTCCTGTCCCCTCCTGCCTTCTTGTCCTTGTGCCTGGGCTGGTGTGCCTATTTAGTCTCGTTTTGTTTTATGGGCCTGTCTAATCCTTGGCTGAAGGGTGAACCTCTGGAGTGACTTCATTACTGAGCTATAAGGGTGTCCAGGAGCCACACTCTTGAGGTTTCTCCCATCTCTGTCAGACCAGTAAGTTTGGTCTTTTTTTTTTTTTTTTAAATTATCAACATTTCTTGAATGCTTATTATATGGCAGAGTGCCTGGGTGATGTAAATGGTTACCGTACTTGGCTGCTATCCCAAAAGGTTGGCTGTTCAAGTCCACCTAAAGTCACCTCAGAAGAGAGGCCTGGCAATCTACTTCTGAAAAATCAGATGTCACTGCAACACACACAAGCCATCACAGTATGACAAACTGACAGATGGGTGGTGGAGCCCTGGCATACAGGCCATGAAATTGTTGCTTATTGAAGAGGAGGTGAGAGACCCTAGGAATCTGAGTCAAGTAGGTAGATGATGCGGGTGAGAGATTTACAGACAGAGACGCTAGATACAAGGGACACAAAAGACCAGGTTCGCATTCATAACTGTCCCTTCACATCTGAGACAGCCATAGAGACAGAGTTAGAGATCTTAGGAATGACGCTGCCATCACAGTCTCTAAAACTGCATTTGTCCGACTTGCAAAAATTCAATTTGAAGCTTAACAGAACTACAATAAAAGCTGTGTTCTTTGGCCATTATTAACTGGAAATCTCTGGTTATGACACAGCCCTGGTGGCACAGTGGTTAAAGCTGTCAACTGCTAACTGAAAAGTCGGGTATTCTAACCCACCAGCCACTCCTCGGGAAAAAGATGTGGCAGTCTGCTTCCGAGAAGATCAGTGTCTTGGAAGGCCTATGGGGCAGTTCTGCTCTGTCCTATAGGGTTGCTATGAGTCAGAATCAACTCGATAGCAGTGGGTTTGGTTTTTGGCTCTACTTTCCATGAGGATAACTTGTTCCTGGTGATGACCTGAGGCACTGATGGATTTTGCTGTCCTTTCCTGCTTGCCTCAGGCTGCCTGAGACCCAGGGCCGCCACAGTGGGGTGTGAAGTACATATTGCCACACTTAAAGTCTTCAAAGAGCTGGTCTTCATCAACCCAAATAATCGATGGACCTGAACAGTCTCTAATCATGCCCGAGAACAAACGTTGATCATATTTGGTGGTCAGGCTCCAATAGGAGAGATGGAGATGGAAGTGATGAAGTTAAACCTTCATGCCAAATAAATCTCTCCAGGGAGGACTTCAGGTAAGTGATGCTCAAGCCAAAACTAAGTGATGACCCTACATGAAAACATAGGGCCCTTTTCTATATACATTTATAGATGGATGTCTCAGGGAACTCGAGGAAATACCCTTCTTTTTTTTTTTTTCTCCAAAATACCAGTTCCCCTACAATTTGGTGGCACTTCAGAATCAGTGTGCATTGAAGAGACTGAATTAATTTACTTCAAATGTGAAGGAAACTGTGCCCAAGCCTATCGGAGTATCAGCTTGTCTGATATTCAGCACTCTTCCAGCAGTGCAATAAATTACAGTTTATCCTTCCAGACAACACGGAGAGGCTAAATCCAGAGCCGATGTCTACCCAGAAGTTTTGAGTTTATGTGAATAACATTCTTACGGTGACAGGGAAGTGAATGTCCGTGGTGAATGGATGTGTAGGAAATTGTTACCTGTTGAGGGACAGGCTGGAGGATGTTGTTGTTGTTAGGTGCTGTTGAGTGGGTTCCAACTCATAGCGACCCTATGTACAACAGAATGGAAGCTTGCAGGAGAATAGTAGGGAGATAAATGAAAAAACCTCAACAAACAGGGAGGTCATCTCAGAGAATTCGGAAATCCACATCTTTTCTTTTATAAGCCTCAAATCTTCCCAGGATTCCATCTGGCTTTTTGCTTCCAGCCACTTGTCTTCTAACAAAGAGAATAAAGATGGTTTTAAAGCTAAATGTGAGCCCTCTAGAAAAAGGCTGAATAGAGATCCTCTCTTCCCTTCTTTAGTCTGGTAGCAGAATTTTCTTTTGCACTATTAAAAATGGCCCAGGCTACCTTTTCTCCAAAAACACACGAAGCTGCTGCATATCCCTTTTCCAAATAATTAATCTTTCCAGTGGAATCTTTCAAAGCCCCACATTTCCTGTTATTTTATACAGCTGCAATTTGTAACTGGAGCTCCTGCCTGGTGTTCCATGGGCAAAATGCCAAATCCACTACTTCTCACCTACCGAGGTGCCCCACACAGATTATCCTGAACCACAAGCTAAACAGTTAGGTCCTATCCTAGGTCCCAAAAGAAAAGCCCAGGGAACAAAAGGCTTTTAAACATATTTCTGTGTTGAAATTTTAGTGGATGCTCACAATAGTTTGTTTTCCAGGTTCGACATTTGGAAGTATCACCACTCTGCCACAATAAAAGAAGGTTTTTCAAAAATGGATTGGTTCCTGTGTTAAGCTAATATTTGTGAGTCATAAAAATGACACCCTCTTAGTTATCTGGTAGCCAAAAAATGGGAGTTGCTGTATGTCAGACACATCTCATTTGCTTTTTTGTCAATGTACTGGAAGACCAGAGGCAAGACTGGCTGGAGGGTAAGCAGAGGGGGCAGGATTTGAGGGAGAGGCATGTGGCCCATCTATCTTCCTCCCCCTGATTTCCCCATCCCTCCACCCAAGTATCTCTCTTCAAGCTACCCATGGGCTGAGGTTCCCTCAGGACCTAGCAAAGTTGGGAGGTTCTATTCTTCTCAAGAAGTATTGTGAACCCTCTGCACTCCCTTAAACACCTCCTTACCCCCACCACACATATCTGCAGATGACCTGCCCCCTACTGTTCAAAAATTGAGACCATTGAACCAGATCAACCACCTCCTGCTACAGCCCCCCCGCATCCTCCTTCCTTTCTTTCAGTCCCTTGGCGGGTGCTTCCTGCCTCAAGATCAGGCCCTGCACTTGTGCTTGGTGTCTCAGCACCTCCTGCTCGCTGAGAGCCCCACACTATAAAATGTCCCCTCTCCCCTGTACAACCAACCCCTCCGTGACACCTGAGTCCTCCCCATTTACATTTAAACCTACTTAAGTGTCTCTTAAAACAAAACAAAAACACGACTCAACTTCATAGTCCCTTCCTATGATTACTCTCTCTTCTCCCATTCCCAGTGAAACTTCTGAAATGAGTTGCCTATACTCCTTTTCCTTTTTCATCAGCTCCCCCTACTCCTCAGCCCTATCACTTTGGCTAACATTACAAATAACCACCTTGTTACTGAAGCAAGGGACTCAGCCCTCACACCCCCTGGCCCCTCAGTGATGTTCTGAGACCATTCCCTCCTGGGACCCTCTTCCTTTGGCTTCAAAGACCCAAAGCTCTTCTCGTTGTCCTCCTACCTCTTCGGCAGCTCTTTCTTTGTCTCGTTTGCAGGCCCATCCTTCCCTACAGAGCCATTATTAAATGTTTGGGTTATTTAAGTTTCTCTTTCCCACTCTATATTGAATCCCTAGTATCCGCACCCACTGCTGCAAGAATCAGACTCATGTTCAGTTGCCTATTCAGAATTTCCACTTGAGTTTCTCATAGCTACAAGTCCAAATCCCAAGTCAGGATCTTTCTTCCAAAACTGGGGTCTCTACCTGGGATTATTCCTATCTCAAAAAATGGCACCACCATCCACCAGGTTGCTGAGGTCAGCAACTGAAATATTCTTAATACTTTTCCCAACTTCCAGCTCCAACCAATCCCTTAGCCCTGGCAATTTTACTTGCTAAACATTTCTCAAATTCATTCCTCTCCATATCCACATCCACCACTCCAATTCAAGCACCATCTTTTCTCTCCTAGACTATTGCAATAACCTCCCAACGGTTTCCTTCAATCATCTCAACCCTCTCTAAGCCATCGTTTACAACGTTGCCAGACCACGTCACTCTCTTGCATGGAATCCTTTAACGGTATATTGGGCACAAGCCCTGTGTGCCTTCTCAGAGTTGACCACATCCTCCTTTCTCTCTTGGTTGGTATTCCACTCGCACCTCACCTTCCAAGTGTGGATGAAATGACACCCCACAGGGCGTGGCCACTCAGGGGCTGGATGATGCATTCTGGAA